AATAAGACAAAACTGTAGGAGGAGTAGCATTTTGAAAGAATTTCTTTATACCGTTCATCCAAATCGAAAACCGATACACAGAATAATGTATCTTATTGTAGTCTACTTGTGTGCCAAGTTAGATTGAAGTCAGACCAAAACTGTAGGAGGGGTAGCATTTTGAAAAATTGTTTACAGACAGACAGACGGACGCCGGTCGCATGACTATCGCATAAGCTCCTCTGGTCTCTGACCAGTAGAGCTAAAAAAAAAACGGGGGGGGGGGGGGTCAACAGTATATTTTATTTGAAACGTTCTGTAAACAAGTGAAAAGATTAATATTGTAAAGAGCGTACTCGTGAATTTAACAACTGATTTGCCTGGAACTTCAGTCTGCATGGCGCAAATAATTTGAACACGGCTTTATTAATTGAGTTTTTTTTTGTTTCAGTGCTAGTCTGGTCCGATTTATAGAAAAAAAATACTTCTAACGGCGAATAATTATTATTTGGTCCAGCATACTTTTTTAACCTATTTCGAGTATGCTGAATCTGAAAAAATATGTGGCCTTCATGAAAATGGCGTTAAAGATTTCAAAATGGCGATTCAAAATGGCGGACATCCAATTTTTCTAATTTTCTCTTAATATCGTTAAAAAAGGAGCAATAATGTGTGAATATCTCACTGAGTGTAATATAAGTGTAAAAATGATAATAGAATGCTAACATTATTAGTTTAAATCAGAAAATTTAGTCGTTTCTACACATAATTCGAATTTTCTCTGATTTTTTGGTCTTTTGTTCTATATTCCGCTTTGTTCAGGATTTTTTACATTTGAAAATATCCATACACTGCAGATTTGTATTTTTTCTGCATCTCACTATTCTACAACTGAATGGTGGCGCAGCTGTAAGTTAAAAGTCAAAATGGCGGATATTCATCTTTTTTTAAAAAAAATTATTTCTTAATGTCGTTTACATAGGAGAAAGGATTTGTGAATATCTTACTGAGCGTAGTACAACTATGCAAAATGCCAACAGAACACCAATTTGATCACTTTAAATTGGAAAATTTAGTCGTTCAAATTTGAAATGTGTTAAATAGCTCAAAATGGCGATTCAAAATGACGTCTGATACACTCGAATTTCGTTGAAACTCTTAATTCTAGTTCGTTTTGCAAAAAATAAATTATAGTTTGTTTTTTCATATATATAGTATATTGATTAGTCCATTAAATATGAACAAAAAATACTTGAAAACGAATTAAGAGTTTCTAAATTTCCCCCTTCGTATTTGACCGTACGTGTTCCAAAGCCTTTGAGGCTCCGTTCAGCTAAAATCACTCCCGATCCTTTAATTATCAACTTAAACTTCTTTCTAAACATCCCTCGGCACAACATCAAATATAACTGAAGAAATTCTTGTCCGATTTCATCGAACACTTTGTTCTTGCGTTTTAGCACTTATAAGAACTTATTATTATCCCCTAACATCTTCTATTCCAGGTTTATTTGGTAAATGTTTCAGTCTGTCTTCGGAATTTTGGTATTTTCAACATTTAAGTAAAATGGTGCCCCGTGTCATGGATGACAACCCCCTTGGCATGTAAAAGATCGTTTCTCTGGAATTCAAAAAAGAGTAAGCTCACTGGGGGCCGCCAGAGAAACCAAAATCCTTCAAAAACCTATCATTCAAACTGATATAGTTTGCCGAAATATGGCTGAAAAATTGCCGACTTGGCGTTAAACAATATACAATCAATCAACCAACACTCAAGGAACAACACATTCATGTTCAAATGTTAAAAGTCTATTTTGTTATCCAAAACCATATGCAAAATGAACTAGAGGTACTGTGAGCAATTAGCTCACTAAATGATACCCTGGTCTCCTATATGAATATAATGACAGTGTCCATGTTTTGCTATGGGAAACCCAAATTATGTGTCGGATCAAAAAGTAAAATAGGAAGTCAGAATGGCAATATGTAATAAAGATTCTGTGAAAGTTTCATCAAATTTCATTCAGTGGTATGAGAGGAGTTGCGGATAAGAGATTGGTACCCCAAAGAGTAACAGACAAACGGACGGACATACCGATTACGCTTTACCCTCCCGCTTTTCAAGCGGGGGATATAAAAAAAATTTCTGATATTCAAGACATGTAGCTCTTTGATTTGTGACCTCGTATACATTTGTTGTCTTTTAGGGTAGAAAAGTCATTCTATTAGCAAAGAAAATTCTCAAACTTGATCATCTGAAATCACATTTTTGTCAGAAGAGTTATGCAATTTAAGATCGCCTGCAGATTCCTCGAGATTCCTATCACTTACAAGCTTTCGTACCAATAGGCCTAAGCCATTCCTGAGTTGGATCTAGTCAAACTTCTCTTGACAACATTTCTTGAACACTTCAAGAACTTTACAAAGCAACTTGATCCATACTTCTTTTGTTAGGATAGTATAAGGTTGTATCAAGAATCGAAGGGGGGGGGATTGAACACAAACATTTTCTTCTTTCAGATTTTGTAACTTTCAAATTTTTTTAATTTACATACACTGTTCAATACAAAAATATCCTTTCACAGCTTGAAATATTTGAGAATCAGTTGAATTTTTGAATGAAAATAACAAAATGAAAATGTAGGGATACAGAATCAGAGCTGGACAATCCACAAAATTTATGGTTTACGTATATTATACTGACAATTCTTAATATATATGTCTATATTTGGATATTATGATATATTCAGATTTATATGATGTAACAATTTCTAGCCCTATAATTGGCCGTCGTCAATCATTTTAAAAATCATACTCAGTTATGTTGCACTAGACCTTCCACATGAACATAAACATTTTTTTTCTACACTGGACTAAAAATAGATCAAGAATTCCCAACAACTTAATGTTCACTCGCCTTAATGCTCGAGGGATACTGCTCTTGGGGTAGCTTAATTTTCATATTGTCCTCAAAACAGCAATTATTGTATGATATTATTAACTTTTTATATGAAGAAGCATGGTGAGACAGGTAAAAGGTAAAATGTCTTCGGAATTGTCGTCAAAGATTTATCTTAACAATAGAAGTAATTAAACAAATTTAAAATCTGTGTTATAAAAATCCTAAGTCATTAACAAAAATATCCTCCAACTTTCATTGCATATTTGAACATTATTTCATGAATAAAAAAAACAATTCAAACTGTAATTTATTTTCTGCCAAACGAACCAGAATTAAGCAGTTTGGGTATTTTACGAAATTCGAGTGTATAAGACATCATTTGAATTGCCATTTTGAGCTAATTAACACATTTCAAATTTATCGACTAGATTTTCCGATTTAAAGTGATCAAATCAGTGTTCTATTGTCATTTTACATAGTTGTACTACGCTCAGTAAAATATTCAAAAATCCTTTCTCCCATGTAAACGACATTAACAATTCAATAATTTGAAGAAAAAGATGAATATCCGCCATTTTGAATCGCCATTTTGACTTTTAACTTACAGCTGCACTATCATTTAATTGTAGAATAGTGAGATGTAGAGGGAAAAATACAAATCTGAAGTGTATGGATATTTGCAAATGTAAAATCCTGAACAAAGAAGAATATAGAAACAATAGACAAAAAAAGTCAGAGAAAATTCGAATTAAGCATAAAAACGACTAAATTTTCTGAGTTTAACTAATAATGTTAGCATCCTATTATAATTTTTATAATTTTATTACACTCAGTTAGATATTCACTCATTACTTCTCCATTTTGAACAACATTGAGAGAAAATTGAAAAAAATGGATGTCCGCCATTTTGAATCGCCATTTTGACCTCTTTAACGCCATTTTCATGAAGGCCAGCATATTTTTTCGGATTCAGCATACTCGAAATAGGTTAAAAAAGTATGCTGGACCAAATAATAATTATTTGCCGTTAGAAGTTATTTCTAGCCTTCTTTTTAAAAATCAGGACCAGACTATGCAAACTTCCGCCAGAGTTCGTTTGTACCAAACCAAACTCTTCCAGGCAGGCATTATGGGATACGTATCTCTCCCAAATTCTCGCGAACTACTTTTTTACGAGAAGACCGTGATATCAGCAACACAGGTAAATATTCTTTAATAACGATGATTAACATCTTTGAAATTATACTTTTTAACGTGTATATTAGATGTTGATCAGAAAGAGTCACAAAAATCTTGTTTTTTTCAATTCGAACTGTAAATGGGGTATTCATTTCGAATTTCCTCTAAATTATTTTCGTTATCGCTGTCAAGGAAATGCAGCCGAGAAGTTATGCAACCATTGGCATTTGTATGGGAATATTAGTGTGCACTTTTGCCATGCTTCTGCTTTTGCTACTTAAGTTTTACTTTTGTAATACTGATTAATAAAATCAATTGTATTATAGGTGGAAAACATATATACAGGTGTCTCATTATATCGCGGTACTAAATTCTTTTGCATAAAAAGTGTAATTTCTAATTTTTGTTTTAACTTACATCAAATGATAATTGTAATTCTAACTTTGGCCTAACTTTTTAGTGTTCAATTATTTTTCCTTGCATCGTTTAATTTGTGGTCTATTTTTAAAACAGGAAGTCTTATTTACCTCCTAAATCGGAGAGTCTCATTGTATCGCGGTATGGAAATACATAAACTTGTAAATGATACAGACCTCAATTTTTATTTTTGAATTTACGATGTAACTTTACACGAAAAAGTGAACAATTGTATATACTAAAGACTTTTAAAAGATGAAGTTTATTATGATTTTTACGAGATTATAATTCTAATGGTCTAAATATAATTTAAAGGAGACATGAAATCAGAAAATTTCGTTTTATTTTTTTTCAAAAGGATGTTCCATATTTCTTAATCACCGAAAAAAAATAATCATTCAAACAACATTCATAATGTCTATCAACAAAAAGAAAATAGGCTATGTATCCACATTTTTGCGATATACCGCGATACAATGAAACCCGCGATATAACGAGAATTGAGTATACATGTATCAGATAATGTCAGCAAAATCCATTTACAGGTTGGTATGTGTAATACATATTGAAATTTTTTCTGTACTTTTTATATAAGGTGAGAGACAATCACTGATCTTAACTTTTATTAATCCACAGATATAATTATGGGTGATTCAAGAAATACTGACACACCTCTGAAGACAATTTTTAGAGGACAGTCACTGGAACCGCATTGCTTTATCTGCTTTCGCTCCCCCTCAGGGAAGTTAAGGAATATAATTACAAATGTAGCCCTCCCACTCCCAGAGAACAATGCTGTTTTACAGAATATAAAGAAGTGTTTAGACATCACATTTCATTCCATTTCATTCCAGGATTGCAAGATATGTTTATCTTGCAAAAGACAACTAGAAAACTGTGTACATTTTCAAAATATATTGAAGGAAGCTATCAACAGAAAATCTACCTCGACATGTTCAACAAAACGAATGGCATTTTCTCAGACACCTACCTTGACACCTAGTTCTACCAAAAAAGAAAATACAGATGATGTGAACAATAAAGAGAATGTATCTATGAGGAAAACCCACTCTAAAAAGAAAAAGAAACTTCAGTTTTTGGAACTTGAAACAGATGTACCAATTGACACAAATAAATCTCAGATGTGTCATACAGATCATAACTATGGTAGTCTTGCATCACCATTGGATACAACACACCTGAATTCAGTTAAGGCAAAACAAGAGCTCTTCTGCAAGAAAGACGACAAAACCAACCAGAGTCAATGCTGTTCTGCAGATGATGTTTTCAAAAACAAAGTACTACTGTCTGAAATTCAGAAATTGATTTTACTAGAAACTGAAGTCATTGCTGATAATTTATGTTCGTTGAACATTCCACCAGGTCCATCAGTCCTCAGAACATTACAACATCCATCTCCTTAAAATCAGAGGATATTTTGCATAAATGTCTGCTTGAATTTCAAAACTGTTTCCCATTTGTTTTTAGAGTTTTTCAGACATTAACATCCCCATTACATGCTGATCAACAGAAAACTGCTACTGGCAATTCCACAATTGCTATGATGTATGCCATGGCCATGAATAAGAGAAATAAAGATCTGTGTGCAATGCAGAAGATCAACACCTGTATTGCCCTTCGCTTCCATGCAGGTAATGAACTATTAGACATTTTTAACAAGACAGGTATAACCCTTTCAGCAGACAGTAAATACACATTTCTGGACAAAATGGGAGATTTGAACACAGAGGGTATTGTTCGCAGTATTCAGTTGGGAATAGGAGGAAAAGTGACAGTTGATAATATCGATGGAATGACCATAGCAAGAGATGTTAGACTCACTGGGGGTAATAAGCATTACCACTACACAGCCTCTACTTACTACCCTGATCGTGTAGATTTGAGGGATCTTGAGCAATGCATCACTTCAGTTCCAGAGGAAATTAATTTTGATGTATTTTACCTCAGTGCGGAAGAAGAAAGCAAATTGAAGGAAATGTATGGTTATATGGTATGTATGTAATTTTAAATCCAGTGTAACTGTGTTTAATTCAGATATCAAAAGTAAAAAAGTGGGGGAAAATTTGTCTCTCATCTTTGTTATTCAATGTAACTATTCTATTAATACAAAAATTATAATAATTTCCTTTTGAATAATGGTAGAGGTACACATGGTAGATATACATTTGTTTCTATTTCTATTTATGTTCAAGGTTGGCCGTACCTTAGTGAAGCATTTCAAATCTATGAAATGGATGCAACCCTGCATTCCTTCACATATCCCTCATCCTTATAGTCAGCAGATGTCAAGCAAGTCACAGATATTTCCCCTTAAGGTAGTTTTTAAAGATTTTCAATTTTTTAATATATTCCACTTTGTCATGAAAAAAAAATTGTACTTTTTAAATGTAATGTACTAGTATTGCCTGTAATAGTGTAAAGGTAAACATGCAGTAAGCCATTATATTTTTCATATTAATTTGAGTAAGAACTTTTTCAGATAATTCTTCAAGACCCTAAATATTATGATGGGTGCATTGAGGTTCTCAATGAACTCAGTAGAGAGTTAGTGAATTCTTATGAAAAAGCCGGAAGAAGTAAAACAAATTGTTAATTTTGTTTTTAATTTATTTTTTTTCATATGTTTGTTACTGTTTCAAAGGATAATTACTAAAACCATTTAAATTAATGTTTACTAGAAACTGAGACCCACTTTTCTAGAAACTGTTATATGAGTTAATTTGTTCATTGTATTGATTGCAGTATTACACTTAATTAATAGACTGTTTACAGTTTTGTTAAATGTTTTAAGTACATGTAAAAATTAACTACCACTAAGTAAATATTCAACATACATGTCAACGAAAAAAAATATAATATAATAATTTTTAGAATTGCTTGTAATTGACATTTTCCTGGAATGCAAAAGTACAAGCATGGTTAAATTTTATAATAAGGTTTAGAAAACATGCTTATCACTAAATAGACATTATTTTTTAGGTCAGCATTCTTTATCTAAATACATTTTATTGCTTGACAGGAGATGACTTTGAGACAGCTAAAATAATACTTGGAGGGGATCAACTTGTTAGAGTAAGGATGAGTGGAGCTAAAGATCTTCTTGCTGGTGCTCACACTGCAACGGAAAGAATGGAGATTTTTGATCCTGTTATAGAAGAGCTGTTTCATGTAGAACAGGATTTTCTTGATGTAAGTTATACTGCTGTTTAAAGTATATGTGAAGAGAAAAATATGTCTGTTGTGGTATTTAAATAACATTTATTATGAATGTAACAATTTTTACTTTTAGAAATTGTTCAAACGATTCTACTCAACAAAGACTTCACGACAGGAAGGAAGTCTAGCTTTCTTCAAATGTCAGCTGAGGAGGACCAACGTAAACGGTCAAGTAAAAGGAGGGTTCCAGGTATGTATCATGTCGTCCATGCTTATTCTCTACAGTCAAGTAGAATGACCCATGGCCAAGGGGGAGCAAAGATTATGAATTTCTTAATTCATGTGAATTGTGAAATTCATAGATTTAGACTCCACACATACAAGTGTGGGCTTAGTTTGTCTTATATGGAAAATGCATTATATCTTACTAATCTATTTTATTACTCATGGATAGCAGGCAAACTGTGTGCATGACGGGAATGAACTTTTTATCAAAATTTGAAATTTACAACCCATTGGTCCATGAATAAGGTCCTAGGGAGGGCTTAACTGGTTGATATTGGTTTTAAATTGATGACTTGTCTGTTTTAACTTTTGCTATTTTATAATTTAATTTCTTTCATAACACATCATTTAATTGGATAAAAAAATAATTTATATTGTATAATCTGTGTTGCCTATGTCATAATGACTTACATTTAAGAGGCTGTCCACCGAAAAACCAGGCAATGGGCGGCACATCGCATGTCATGGATTTTAATTATTTTTTGCATGTAGACTTATTAAAGCAAGTGTTTCAACATGACAACATCAAAAAATTTTATAGTGCTCCTCTAGTCCTAGTTTTGGTAAATTCTTGATTTTAAGTGCAAAAAGGTCAACATGAGGGTAAAAAAAATACTACTTCTTTATTTCGTTTTATATGTAACAGATACTCCAGAGGTGGATGTGCCAATGAATATTATTTATAGAATAGACTTTTATCTTTTATTTTATGAATGAATAAGACTCCAATTTATACTTTTTTAGAAAAAATTATCTGGTCCAAATTGGAGTTTAACAAGTAAATGTTTAAATTCAGTATCCAATTTTAATTACGTTATAAAACCCAATACAATACAAGGACATATTTCTTTACTTATGTTTTTATGAATACAAAGTACAAACTTTTGGGTCATTCAATAAAATTATTGGGAAAAGGTATTTTGAAAGAAATAAAAGGAGTCAAATGTACTTATTTTTCATAGTTTTCACAAATGAAACCGATCCCGACCGGAATTGTATAAAGAAGAAAATACTAAAATAGTAATGTCAAATTTGGCTCTTTTGTTGTAATATGATTAAGAAATTACTTGATTTATTTTTTTAACATATTATATAGGTGACATGTGCCTTTAGTTTGATAAATTTATTAATTTTGCATTATTTTCGATCTTTCAATCGGGATTTTTTCCGTAAATTTTGAAAAATTTCCTAAATTTGGCTCTTCATGTTAATTTCTCAGAAAAAATGCTAGTCTGTCATTTCTTTTCAGTCAGTTTACTGTTTTTAAATGAGTGTAACCATAGATTCAAATGTATGTATTATTTAAATTACCAATGTCTTTTACTTACATGAATATTACATGTAAAACATCTAATCTGATTGATTTCTTAATCGAAACTAGGGATTTTAAAAAAAAAATAATGCATGCATTATGCAACAACCAGAGCAAACAACTTTCAGCTTCATTATTCATCTCATTTTCAAGTAAAATTTCTTTTTTATTTGTCTCAGGAATTAAAGAGTAAATTCTATCAGTAGCGAAATTAAAATTCCCTAAATGCAAGAAATATTTTAAACAGTCTCGACTTTATCCAAGTTTTTTCTTACCTGTCATCTGTAAAGCCTTTTCATCTTTTACAAAATTTGATTTTATATAAATAAGAAAATAAGTTCTTTCATGTAAATTATAAGTATTCAAGAGCCGATAAATTTTATCATTTTTAAAAATTGGTTTCATGAACGTGAAAACATTTTAGTATTGGTCAACATAGTCACAGGTTTATACTCCATATTGAATATGAGCGTGTGATTGTTTCAATCGCCGAATAAAAAGTAAGAAATATATAAAATTAAAAAAAAAAATGTTTCACTAAACCACCTTCCGTTATAGTGCCAAATTATAGTCGGGAGTTCAGCAGTAATATTTTTATTATAACTTATTTTTCAGTTTTTTTTTTTCATTTTTAATCGTACTGTAGATCATTTATTTTGATTTCATTGCATAGATAGATGTATTTAAGTTTTAGTTTTTACATCTTCCAACTTCGTTGAATTAAATGTTGCGTAAATCTAAAACATTCATCATTGATTCCCAATTATATAAGAAATGTTCTGAATCATTATAAACACTTCATTAATTATTTTAACGCATATCCTGGTAAATCAATTTAAAAAAATTAGTTCTCGGTCATGTATAAAATTACTTATCAAAACGTCATCTTGCTGAGACGCTGCCCGTGTACTGTGTAAAATATATTTTGATATTAAAATATTATTTAACATTTAGTATAATGCACTCTGAAGAGTATTTAACAGAAAAAGAGAAATCATTTTAAAAGAAATATTTTTCTTTACACTTTACGCAAAGAATTTACAAACTTGTCTGGAAAACTTGTAACTATTTCATTGTGACGCAATATTATGACGTCACTGATACATCAATGGAAAAGTGGATTTTACCTGAATCTTATAGCCAATCTTTATCTAAATATTATGTTTGGAGGCGAAAATGAATTATATTTTGAAAATAAATTATTTATTTTGTGTTTAATAATTTTCTTTAGTGTATCGATTCTAAATATTTCACTAGGATTCCGATTAAAATGTGTTTAGCAGATTTACCGATGCCACGGGAGATAACTCTTGCATCGCAAATTTTCATGAAAACGTCTATATATTTTGCCAGAAAACTTCTATTAAAAGTGTTTTTCCCAATGATTTTATTTGTTTAACAAAAAGATGAAATATTTCAAGATTCATTTAAGTGTGAATTATAGTCCTGTTAAAATTGTATTGGAAATTACAGTTCTTTATTTCTGACCTACTTTCAATGGTTTATATAGGGGAAGTCAAAAACACAAAACACAAGGATATTTTACTGAATAAGCAATTTTCAAACAAATCTTCAATTACATTATTCCTTTTGGAATACATTGATATTGTTTTTCATAAAATATCAAATATTCCTCACATTCGATGTGCCGCCTATTAATACAATACTGCCTGGTTTTTCGGTGGACTGCCTCTTAAAACAAATTATCGGAGAAATTGTCTTTGTCTCTTAATTTGATGATGGAAAATTAAATTATAAGGACCAATTTTAAAAGCTTCCCAAGTGATACTGGTATAACATGGGTTGGAACAGTTTATGCTTTTTTTTTTAAATTGGCTAGTGTAAACTGTCCTAACACAAGTTATATACATGAAATATAACTTGGGTAGCTATAAAATTCATTCCTTAAGAGGTTTTGATATTTTTAGGCACACAGTGATTTCCTACACACAGTTGGTGAGGCCCTACTGATTCAGCTATGTATGAAGAAATTTTCGATGGACAGCTTAGAGAGTGCTCCTGTTATTCCAAATTTAAGTCTGCCAGAAAACATCAGAAACACACACATTAAAACAAGAGAACCTCTATTTTGGAAGGTTGTTCAAGAAATTGTGAATGAAATATTCATGGAATTTCATAACCCAGGATGTTTACCTCCAGTGCAGTTGGAATTTGGTGGTAGTTCTGTGATAATTCCCAGAGAACAACTGTGCAAAAATGGCTATGTTGATGTGAAAATGCCATCTGGGGAAGTTTTTAGAGTATTTAATTCACATGAAACCACAGATGACATACAGAACTACTCTTTACAATTACTGATGTGGTATATCCATTTTTGTGAATTTCAGGATGGCATACGAGAAGGAGACCCTTTCAGGACCAACATTAACTTAAAAAGAATGATTCCCTTCTTTTACAGTCATTCAGATCGATCCAAATATGCAGTTGAGTGCATAGATTATATCTTATATCCTCAAAACAGAAGTTCTATTACACATAGCTATGAGAGTGAGACTTGGTAGTTTTGTTAACCCACATGGAAAGAAAGGAGGAAATAAGCCAGCTGACATGCAACAAGAAAATAACATTCTTGTTCTCAAAGATGTTATAAAAGGTTTAGGAGCTAACAAAACAAAAAAAGCCATGGAACGTGCATCTGCAGCAGCTCCTGTTGTGGCAGAAACTGTAGAAAATTATATGAACAATATTGGGTGTGTATCAAGGAGTGGAAAACACAATACAAAAGACAATTTGGAAGACGTGACACTTCTAGTCCAACTTTTAAGTCGATTAGACCCATTTAGTGTGATTGATAACCGCAAGATGAATTTTTACAGTGGTTTCAGGAAAAATCCATTCTCAGCTATATCTTCAGATTTTAACTCCCATCTTTTCAAAATAGTTGAGCGCTTGAAAAGATGTCAGAACATTGACCTTGAATACTACAACCAGTAACAATCAACAATAGGTATGGGGATGAGAAGGGAGTTGTGGGGGGGGGGGGTAAATTGTGTCTGATTGCAGTGTATGATTGCTGTTTGTATTCTGTCAAAATAATGTTATATGTTTGGATGTTTCATGTATTTTAGCTCACTTGAGCTAAAGTCTCAAGTGTCACAGCTTTTCTTATCAAAATTGTTAGTTGAAATCATTATCTTAATGTTTTCCTATTTTTATCACTTTAGAATAATTCTGCCGATTTCAACCGCCATAAGGTATCTTTTGGACTACACACTTTTTAAGGGGAGATAATTTAAAACTAGTGAATTTTAGTAGCATCTTTTAAACATCTTTTTCTCAGGAACCACTAAGATAGAAAAAAAAAATGAAACTCATGTAGAAGCTTCATTTATAGTGTAGATTCAAGTCATGTTCATGTCATGACCCGCAGGGTAAGGTGGGGCCATGAAGTGTAGCATAGAAATATATAGGAAGAATCTTAAGAAATTGGAAAAGCAATGATTAGTCATATTTATGGGAAAACATCCTCAAATATTGTTGATTCAAGTTTATAGGAAAAATCTTTTAAATTTTTCTCAAGGCTAGCAAAGCCATGATAAGTGAATTTTACTGTCAAGTGTGTTTTATTAGTGTAGATTCAAGTTTGTTCAAATGACCCTCAAAGGTAGAATGGCAATGGCCCACGCTGTTATCAAAACTTTACATGTGAAAACACAATAGGGCCATGTGATTGAGGAGAGAAATGTGGCCAGTGGGCCTCTTTGTTATATGTATTTAATTGAAGATAATATGTAGTAAAAGAATATATTTCAACTGAAACTTCATAACAAATGTGCACCAGTAGTTGAATTCTTTTCATGTATTAAAAATCATATAAAAATCAAATGTTTCATTTTTACATCTGACACTAAGTCAAGGTCTTTCATGAACAGGTTTACAAGGCGGATAGATCACACCATCCTTTTACAGTGCAATTGTAGTAACAAGAAGTGCGATCTGGTAATAGGTCCTGTAATACTGGGAATGTACTTAAATAATGATGAAGTTGTGCTCACTTGGGAATGCTATGACACAATGTTACAATTCACAGTCTGAGCAACAGCATAAAATTTCACATACATCACAGCATTTGCATTTTTTGTTTCCAACATCTGGTTTAAAATCTAGATGCTTTAACAACTGCACACGCAAACAGGTGTCTGTACTTATGCAGTATTGGCGCATGGAATGTTGCATCCCAGGTCTGTTGATCCTGACATCTGTTTTATTAACATACAAAACTGCTTCGGCAGCTAACCCATCTCGCCCCGCACGACCAGTTTCTTGCAAGTATTTTTCGATGCTTGTTGGACATTTAAAATGAATGACCTTTCGAACGGCAGGTGCATGCAGACCTATGCCAAGGGCTACCGTTGCCAGAACTACTCTAATTATTGGATCAGATTTTCCCAGTTCCCCTATGATAAAATTTTTCATTTTCTCTGGATAATGGGTATGGTACTGTGCATAACACCTGTTCTCAGGAGACTCAATCCCTAACTTGTTCTCCAAAAATCTATAGCCATACCTAATTGACTCCAGATCAGTGTAAATGAAAGTGAGAGGATAATGTCTTCTGTCCTTTTGTAGACCTGTCACAATATCTCCTAAAATTTTGTCAAGGTCGTCTTCTTGTCGCATGCTGGGTAGTCGTTGGTATTTGTAATACTTGATGTTGGGTCTGTCTGGATTCTTGGAAATAAAAGTGGGATTCCTTAAACCAAGGTTTTTTACCAGCTTTTCCTTTGTCGATTGTGATGCTGTTGCTGTAAAAAGGGACACGGGTACTCTAGGGAAAATGCCCAGCAATTCTTGTATCCTAGCAAAGTCCTTTCGAAAGTCTTCACCCCTTAAAACAAATAACAAATAGGCCAAGCTTAAAAAAATCTTTGTTTGCAGTTGCCAACCTATAATTTTTAGAGTAGGTAGGTAGGCAGGCATTCTTTTTTATTTTTTTTTTTTAGAAAAAATAATTAGTTTTTAGATTTTTGTTAGATAACAAATAATAGGGCTTTTCATAGGCCTTCTAAACATGAATTAGCTCCACTCTTGTTTTAAACTACTGATTGATGAAAACAAAAGTCAAAAACTGAAAATGAAATAGTTTCAATATCCTGAAAAAGTAAAAAAAAAAAAATAATAATTTACTAAATGGCTAAAAAAAAGTTTGCATCAGGTGCATTTTCTAAAAATAGGTAAGGTTGGTGATAATTTTATATGTAATGGTAGGTTATTCCATAAATTTACACCTGAATATTGAATAGAATTTGTAAATAAAATTGTTCTATGTTTTGGTATTGGGTAGGTAGGCAACTGCAAACAAACAATTTTTATTTTAGGCCTTACAATTTTAAAATAGTTTATTTGAAGGGGGGAGCACTTAAAATGAAGAAAAGTTTTGGAGTTACAATCACTGCTCACCTAAGCTAAGAGCTCAAGTAAACTCATATTTTGTCTATCTGTCTTTCCATAAACATTTCACATTTTTGTTTCTTCTCCAGAACCACAATTTTAACCCAACTTGTCACAAAGCATCCTTGAGTAAAGTGGATTCAAGCTTGTTCTAATGAATGGCCATGCTCTTTTGCAAAGGGAGATAATTAAGAATAAATGACAATTTGTTGGCATTATTTAAATTTCTCAAAAACCACTTTGCTACAAAAGTGGAAACTCCAATAAATATATAGATTCAAGTTTGCTCAAATCATGACCCCCAGGGGAGCCACAGTGCCAGTGGGCATCAAACTTTAACATTTATATGGAAAATACCTTCTACTGAACAACAAAGCCATGATAAGTCTCATTTTGATATAGAAGAATCTTCAAGGAGTGCAGATTAATGTGGTCACATCATGACACATGGGGAAGGGATTGGCCAGCTATAACGGAATTAATTTTTGTAAGAATATATAGGAGAAAAAAACATGCTGATAAACAATGATAATCATAATGACTCAGGTGAGCCTTTTGGCCTATGGGCCTCTTGTTCTCTTAATATACTGTAAATGTATTATATTTAGCGTGTTCGATATTTGGCAGAAATTGAATTTGAATAAATTAGCCTAGGTTTGGTTTAGTGTATTTCTTCGTATTCTTATTTATGTGTATAAGTGCAAGACATTTTACTTGACTTTGCTGTTGTTGAGTTCCGCCAAAGCTGCTAAAAAGAATACACAGCCAAATGTAATACGTTTACAGTATATCATACCATTCTTGTATCATGTGTGCTTCATCTATGCAGATACCACACACGTGATCCTGCAAAGCTTGGCTTTGTAGAATTTTCCTTCCTTCTCTTGAAGAAAGGAATGCCTCTGGATGGGCATAAATAAGGCGGAATTTTCCAGCTGCCACTTCTTCTGGAGAAACTTTCATCAGCAGCTTCCCAACATCTTCATCAGTTTCATCATCAATACTGCTGTCCTCTCTTTCCTCACTTTCATCCTCAATATCTACAGGATTACAGAACTTAATATGCTCATTATTATTTGTGTTTAACTGCTATAAAGAAAATCTTAAATAATTTATTACACCCACTTACTTACAAAGAGTTATCACAAAGAAAAAAAAATAGAAAAATATATTTAGTATATATCTTGGCCATTTGAATTTAGTACAAATGATTCATTTCGTTAGTTGCACTTCAGACTGCCCCCAGGACTTGAACCTGGACTTCCTCAATGCCGGCAAATGCTTGAAGCATGAGGTGTGCTGTCCATTTACACTAAGACAATCTGTAAAGTACTATATGTATCCACAACAAAAAAAAATCATGTAATTTAGGAATTATGTAATTGAGGAATTATTTGGAAATGTGAAAAGAAACAGAAGACAGGTCACAGCTAAGAACTTAAGGTCAGGTCTAAATTGTTGAAGAAACTGTCACTTGAAGGTTTATTTCAAGGTTATAAATACCATATGCTTAATATAAACTTAGTCTCTCTTACTTCATTAAACAGTGATTTAAATATTCAAAATATTTCTTTATTTAGGTTCTATAGTGAGGTATTTGCATACATTTTATCAAAATATGTTAGGGGGCACTTTTACCAAAAGCAGGAGGCATTCTGACCATTTAATTGGGGACAGTAAAGTATTTCTTATATAAATTTATGTTAGGGGGCGCTTTGACCAAAATCAGGGGACGCTTTGACTAAAATCAGAGGACACTTAGACGAATATTTGGTGGTGGTATTTTTTATATAAAAATATGTTAGGGGGCGCTTTGACCAAAGACAAGGGGCGCTTTGACTAAAATCGAGACGCTTTGACCAATATTTGGGGGCGGTATTTTTTTCTAAAAAATATGTTAGGGGGCGCTTTGACCAAAGTTAACGAGCGCTTTGACTAAAATTAGGGGTTGCTTTGACCAATATCTGGGGGCAGTATTTTTTTCTAAAAAAAATATGTTAGGGGGCGCTTTGACCAAAATTAAGGGGCACTTTGACCAAGATCAGGGGATGCTTTGACCGGGACGTTTTTATTAGGGGGCTCTTTGACCGGCTCCCACATGTACATGTATGGTTTATTAATTATTTTAATTGATACTTGATAGTTTTATAGAGATGTAATGGTTAGGGCTGTGGGTTTCAATGATAAATAATAAGGTGATAAACTGTGATGATAAATATTGTCATACAGGTCCTTAATTAGTCATTAGCAGGCCCAGTACAATCACTAGATTTAGCTATAAGCCTATGTAGGTAGAATTACCTACGTGGCTTTATTTACCTACCTCAGGTAGCTTTATTTAGCTATTTCAATGCAACTTTTCAGTTCAAAGTTGAAAAAGATCATTGCATCAAATTGGGATATTTTGCACATCCTGAGAAAAAATTTTTTTTATAGATATAAATTGATCTGGTAGCTAAATAAATCTACATCAGGTAGGTAAATAAAGCTAAGTAGGTAAATCAAACTATGTAGCTAAATCTAGTGGTTGTACCAGACATGATTAGAAATATTAGAAATATTAGGCCCCTAATGAGTAACAGATTAAAAATGTAATACCCGTCCCCAATGCAGGTTTCAACATGTAGGTGGAACCATCTCTTCCCGTTATATCTAGGAAACAAGCTGGAATGCCGCTTTCGCATAGTTTCCTAACCTGGTCCTTCATAATCGCGTTCAATGGCGATATCACAAGGACAACTGCCATGGGATCCTCGGTAATAAATGGCATAAGCTGAAAAATGACACTTTTTCCAAAACCAGTCGGTAGTAAACAGACGAGGTCCTTCGATTCTGTAAAAGCACGAAGTGCTGATATCTGTTCTGGTTTTAATTCATATGTTATCCCTAACTTCTGTTTAGCACTAGTTAATCTGGCTGAATCCATTTTTTGTTGTTGAAGTGAAAGTAGAGAAAATAATAATATTTGAAAAATAATTTATTTCTGTTTTTTGTTATTTTTTACATGTCAATTCAATATATATTCTATATAAAACTTGAATCTTCATTCATATTTATGAAGTTTTTTTAGTTTTATTACGTAAAAATTGGGGTGATAACTTCGCACTTATTCTTTCCTGTTATTCGGCCGCGTTGTAATCGCGGATGTTTATTATCCCGATTTGGTATGCGTTATGCGTTAAATGGTAGTGTCTCTGTGTGCGGAGACGCAGAGGACTATGGGTAGTATGCCAGACTATGCTGTTAAATTGTAAATAAAGATAAATTTTGATTCCTGTTTTTTTCCTGCATTCTGAGAATATTGCAAAAGCTATACAGTCATGTCCCCTACCGGATTCCCCTTTTCTCTTTAGGATTGATTGAATGATTGAATGTTGTTTAACGTCCCTCTCGAGAATTTTTCACTCATATAGAGACACCACCACTTTCCGGTGGACAGCTACAAATGTTGTCCTATACTCGGCACTCAGGGCCGTTGAGCAGTGAGGGATCTTTTTCGTGCCAGCACCTACTGCGACATAGGACCTCGGTTTATACGGTCTCATCCGAAGGACCGGTCTCCACATCCCACAGTGGGATTTGAACTTTAGGATACAAGCTCGTTTGGAACTTGAATTTAATACATAATATCAAAAATATGGAAAACTAGAAATGCCATAATTCCGTCAAAAACCAATGAAGCCAATAAATGGACCTCATGACGTCACAATAGTTATTACGCCTTTCATTGTGACGTTCCATCTATTGTAATGAGATAGTAACGCAAAGAATTTATCAACAGCACGCAACGAAAACCATGGGGAGATCTAAAATTCTTGGTCAAGTTATGACGGGATTAACGGTGGGACTGCCACTATGTATGAGTGCACCGATACAGGTATCTATAAGTGTCCAACAGGATGGGGAATCGGATGACCAAGAAACTGGAGAGCAACAATTTCCTTTGATCAAAAGCCTTCTGATATTGTACGGCGTAGGCATCATTTTAACTTTTCTGGCATGCTTTGTATATCATAAAGTCGAACAGATGTGTAAGTGTCCATGTAAAGAGGATATTGAAAAACAACCACAAAGCGAGGTGAACTCGGCTTCACGTCTCATTCCTTCCTACATTTACCATAAACTGGAGTTAGAGGACGAAGATTCTTCAGATTACGACCCTCAAGCTTGTGTTTCGGAAACCTCCTCCATCTTCGAAAATCCGAACATTGTAACTGTTCTCGAATGTCCCGGCCTCTACGGACTTCGTGGTTTTAAAGAAGATGAGGAGATTGTCATTTTGAATCCTATGTTCAGAGAGGAGTGAGTTGGAGGAATTGTTCTCCAATTTTACCTAGAGTATTATTAGGGAGTATACACTGATGTTTTATTGATAAGAAGAATACGGTTTGTAGAACATTTTTCACTATCAAGCAAACGAAGAAGGGTGAGGAGATGAAGTACCATTTTCGCTAGGAACAAAGGATGGGTAACTTGAAGTATGCGATCAAGTTTTCACGATTGAGAACTCGTAAAGTGAAAAAAAAAGAAGTTAATCTACAAGATTGATATTGCATATTGTACTCGTGAATTTAAATACAGATTTGCCTGGAATTTCAGTCTACATGGCACAAATAATATGAACACTGCTTTATTAATTGAGTGAGTAATTTTTGTTTCAGTGCTGTTAAATTGTAAAGGAAACGGATTAGTATAAGTTTTTGAAACTTGTTTCCGAATCCTTTTTGATCTTTGTACTTCTTGCCTGTATTTCTTGCTTGTCATGTTCAAATAAAATATGGTTTAAACTAAATAATATGAACACTGCTTTATTAATTGAGTGAGTAATTTTTGTTTCAGTGCTGTTAAATTGTAAATAAAGACTTAATTTTGATTACTGTTTTTTTCTTTCCTTATTCACTATAGAGACAAAATTTTGTTTGTAACTCAAATGAATTAAGCATTCTGAGAGTATTGCATAAGCAATACATGTCCCCTTCCGGGTTTTCCGATTCTCTTTAGAATACAAGCTCGTTTTGAACTTTATATAATGCGTAACGTACCGGATGGTAAAAATTCCATAATTCCGTCAAAATCTAATGAAGCGGAACGTACGGCATTCAAACATGATCTGTAACCCATCAGGATACACTCACATACCAAAAATCAGCTCAATATCAAGCATTTAGAAAAAAAAAAAGTGCGGAAAAACAAGTACGGCAGACAGACAGAAGGACAGACATACCGACTTACAGACTCATAGGAAATTTACAGACCCCTCCGGTTTCACCAGAAATTAAACTGGCGGCCGTCACATAACCTATCTGGCGATCGCCAGAAAGTTATCTGGAGGCCGCCAGATGAAATATTAATATCCTACCTGGCACCTACTGGCTTCCGTACTCAAGGACATTCGCCAAAACTTGGAAGTAATGCGTTTCTTAGGATATTTCCATCCTCTTTTTATATAGGAATTGCTCAGTACCCCTGCTTTCTGTCTTTGTAAGGAATTCAGTATAGGTATATGATAATTCCAGTTCATTTTGACTGTTAGTGTTACTGCAAGTTATTCAAACTGATATATGATTTGAAGAATTTTTTCTACCACTTGCAAAAATAAATCCAAGTTCGACTTAAATAAAATTAAAATTATATTCATTTGTCACAAAGACTACAAAATATTTCAAAATTTTCTACAAATTGTATGTCCTTTAAAGGGAATACACATTGGTCAGTTGATAATAGTGTTGATAATTTACTGTAAATAAGATTTGTTTTCTCCGAATCATGCACTGCAGTATGCAAACATTACGTAATTCATTTTTAAATAGGTCCGTAAGAAGCAATTTCAGTTTAGGGGAGGGGGGACAGCCAAAAATATACAGTTGGGGTATCAACCATGAAAAATTCCTTGACAAGCAAAGAAAAGGTCATCAAACGTTTTTATTGATGGGGCACAGGCATAAAGTAGCTAAGTTTTCTAGTGTATTCTATACATCGTGAATATTATTTGGGAGAGCCCCGCCTCTCCTGCGCCCCTCCCCGGTTCATATGGCCATGCCTTTTCAAGGAATTAGGATGGAACTCCTTTTTTTAATTGAATGGTTCTATTGCTTAATTGAATAACTTGAGTTGCATGCATGGCCAGAAACCATAATTATCAGATTAAAGGTGAGCATTTACTCATGGACTCACGGTTAACATTTCAAACATGTTAAGTTAAAACCTATGGTTAGTAGAGTAGAACCATGAAACAACTAAAGATTATTTGTAGTTTATATACAGTACATATTTGAAAGAAGAAATACCAAACGAACATTTATATTCAGAACAAAAATATAAAATACTGGTTTCCGCGTAGAACAACGAGGGAGTCAAGATGCCAGTGCATTTAAGCTAGTATCAACGCAAACTCACAATATCTGAGCATGAAAAGTACATAAAATATAGAATTCACATAAACTGATTGAAAACAAGGGATAAAGATAATGAATGTCAATCCCGAATTACTTCTTTGGTCAAATAAAGAATATTTTGGTAGACTGCCTCTATATATTTTTGCGTAAAATTATCGCCCTTATAATATTGCATGTCATGAATTTTTTAACATTGTTGTGAAAAAAAGGGGAAAGAAGGAGTGAGAGTGGAGAGAGAGTACGGGAATGGGAGTGTGGAGAATGGGAAAGAGATAGTAGATAATGCAAATCAATTTTTAATCGCAAAAATTTTAACTTCGTGTATAATAGTATAATAGTATTCGATTACTGAAAAAAAACACCAATAAGTGAAAAAAAGGACATTTACTATATCGCGCAAATAAATTGGCGCGAAAAGAAAATGATTTACAGTAGTGTGTGAGAGGGGTTTGAAAGAATGGAATTAGGGAGATAGTCAACACATTCGGGAACCCAAGACGCATTAACTGACGCATTATATCCGTGAAAGTGAAAAGCTGCAAAACTCAGAAAGTGGTAATTTGTGAGTTATGAATCAAAATATCTAAAGGCCCTTAAATGCGTCAACTGAAAAGGTATGATCTTTCTCTTCATTATGGATAAATTTTGAAAATATTTAAGGTCAATTTTCAATGGCCGCAAGACCAAATCCTTTACCTAGGGGTGATGAATATTGTAAAAGGTTTTCCTCATCTATAAACAATAAATTCCAGCCAATCAGATGTCAGGAGAGTCAGATAGAAATGTCAGCTTTGATTTACGAACTATCTAATCGTTTATTTCTTGTTGACCTTAGGTAATTTTGCTGTGAAAAAAGTCAAAAACCCCAACATACAAATTAGTCTGTGCAACGAAGGAAGAGGACATCGACCTTTCTGTGATTGTGTCCAGAAAAAAAAAGAAACGGCGAATGGCCGTCCACTTATACTAAGAGCACAACTTGGTCAGATGGAACTAAACATAATGTACATTTGGTCGGGCTAACTATTTGTCAAAAAATTGACCGTTTTATGTTTTGAAGAGGCACTTGCTAAAGGAAAAGGTATTGACGCATTTTGCCATACATCATCATAAAGAAGAAAATTAAGTGTTCATATGTCTTATACGTTGAACGAAATGTCATTCTCAATTAACATATACATATGTATTCATTAATACCCTTTTTTGGCCATGCAGACAATTTAATTTTTCTTTTTAAAAAAGTTTTTTGTTGTTTTGATCAGTTTGATTCCCTTAATAATGTTTAGTGTAAAAATTGTTTTGAAAGTCTGCTTATTTATCTAATCACCGGATAATACATACTGTATACTTACATGTATATATAAATGTATGTAATTATACAATGGTTGGCAAACAAAAAAGAGATTTCTGAATATTAATCTTTTCTTCCGATCTTTTGGGTTGCACAAATCGAAAACACCCATAAATTATACTCCCTTCTCTAGTGATATTACATTTAAGAACTGCTGTCAGCTACACATATTCGTGAGTA